TATCATATTGTTCATTTTCTAATGATGTCTTCAGTTCTTTAATTGAAATGTGCATTGCTAACAGCGGAGCTATCTCAGCCGATAGGCTGCTTGTTATAATGGTTTTTGCACAGCTACTGGCCGCATGTATACAACTTTGATTCTTTACAAGACAGTTCAGTGCATACACAAGATCCAGTGCTTAAACTACATTCAGGATGTCATTTCAAGATTAAAATGTTCACATGACTTTACATTAAAGACATAGAGGTTGTTTAACGGTTTGCCCCAATTTTCAGTAGTTTTGCATATAGTGGTTAAAACTTGTGATTTAAACATAAGTGTCTCTGATAAAGCTCACAGTATTTGTTTGAATTCATTATACCCCCGGTAGTGCTGGCATTTGGTTGCCCATTACATTTATCACTTAGTCAGACAAATATTTTCTGCAACAGAATACATCACTATAGCCACAAATAATCCCCATAATTGTGAATCGCTACTAGTGATGGATTTTGTATTTAATACAGAACGGGAACTGTGCACTCTCATTGCTTGTTTTATTAGTCATAATGATTATGAATAGGATCTTTAATACTATGCTGTACATTTTTTTTTCTTGTTATAAATGTGATATCATTCATTGACTCACATAGTGAAAAATACCACAAAATACAGGTTTTCATACCGCTGTTATTTTACATCACGCACCAAAATAACAGACTTCTATATAGTTATGGTCTTTTTCATTAAATACGCAACAAGGATTGAAAAATTGATTGATTGCATTGAAAAATGCTTGTTTATTCTCAACTTGTACGAAGGTTATAATTAGAATGGTGAAACTGCACCTGACCTATTTCACACACACCTATCTTAAATGTACTCTCAGATACCTTGTCTGTTCTCTGCACTTTGCCAGTATTCAAGTCATTATGTTGTGTTCATTATTTATTTCATCTGTAGCTACTTGGAGAGTTACTTTTGGATAGACACAACTTCACTGTGATGACAAAATATATCAGTAATCCAGACAATCTAAAATTAATGATGAATATGCTGAGAGACAAGAGTCGGAATATACAGTTTGAGGCCTTCCATGTGTTCAAGGTATGGATGAGTATTGCCAATAGATGCATGCTTAAATGTTATTTGGAATTAAAGTTGTATTACAGGATATCTTTGATGTATGAACATTCCCTCTTATTTGAGGTAAACTTTGAATTAAAGATTATTGAGTAATTGTATCGCCGATGAAATCTAGTACATGTGCCTGGTATTCTTGGTCATAACTTGTTTGCAAATAGCCAAACATTACCAAGTATTTCATAGATTCAGTTGTAGTTTTCACGATCCTAGATCATCATCAAGATCCACTAAAATCACACATGATGGAATTTTCTGATAGATGATTCAAATGTGGTCAAATAACATTGATTTGCGATAAACAGCCACATTTTATGTTTTCCTGTACATGTGCCTTGATGCCCCTTCTCTCTAAATTGATATGGCAGAACAGTTGGTTTTCAAATCTCATTGGTGCCAACTTGTCATCACGCTTCTGAGATTTGCTGTAGTTTGTTGAGTGTACATGTTTCGAAGTAGGATTGCAAACCATATTCCATGACAGGATTTTAGGTTGTCCAACCCAAAAACAAATCAGCCAGGATTTTACACACTGTAACTTCTGATTTTAGTTCTCAAACATGCCTGAAACATGTCGCGTGACTCTAGCAAATAGTTTTCTTAATCTGATTTGTGTTCTTTCTGGTTTGTGTTCGCAGTTAACTGTAGAAGATAGTAGTACTGATATGTCTTCTTTATTCACACAGGTGTTTGTTGCAAATCCAAACAAAAGTAAGCCTATATTAGATATACTATTGAAGAATAAAGAGAAACTTGTGGATTTTCTATGCCATTTCCACAACGATAGAACAGAAGATGACCAATTTAATGATGAAAAAGCATACTTAATAAAACAGATTCGTGAACTGAAACCTGTGGCATAGTAAAATGAAGGGTGTATAACTTACAGGCAAACTATGTACCTGTATATAATCTATTAACACAAGTAGTTGTACAGGTTGTATGACAGACTAAACTATTAGTAGTATTGTGTAGACATCTATGGAAAGAGCCCAAGTGCCATCCATGTATTTAGTTATACTATAGGATTAATAGTCAGCTATGTAAATTGCACATATATAGTTTTAAAAAAATTAATTCATACAATCATTTTTGTTTCAACCTAATTTTTCCAACTTTTATTTCAAAGGTATATTGTTTTTTGACTCGTGTGCGAGTCTTCGCGACTACTATGTATGCAAGTCATTCCATTGTTATGTCAAGAACCACTTGTTGGACTTCAATGAAATCTGGTACCTAGATGCTCTTATATAATGTGCATATTGTTTACCTAATTTACATAACAATTAACCAATTCTCAGCTGTTGCACTTGAAATGCCTATATCTCAACACTACTCTGTATAGTTCAATGAAACTTGGTACATGTAGACCTGAGTTATGGGTTGAAATTTGTATAATAGTTACCCATTTTATGATGTAGCTAGTGTTTTCTGTGTATTGTAAATCAGATTATTTTCACTGCAGAGCTATAATTTTAATTATCACATGACCTGGTTCATATCATTCAGTTGTAACGTTTAGCATATAATACCACTGCTAATATGGTATGGTAAACGTAGTGATATTCATGTTACACATTAAATGCATGTTTGTACAGTACCATATTTGTTCTATTAGAAGCGCATGTAAGCCAACAGTTACATCTATAATTTGACCATGGACACATCTTTGTTATTTATGCGAGTGTTTCTAATAAAGCAAATACATTATGCGACATGCCGTTATCATTACGAGATATTTCAGTCTAAATATGAGCAACTGTGATATCCACTGTGTCCTATTGTTAGTCCCCGTTCGGACGCAGTCCGAAAACGGGGACTTATGTTTTGCCCTGTGTGCGTGCGTCCGTCCGTGATCACCTGTAT